TAAATGTCCTTTATGAGATTATATCTCTGATAAAAATGTCAATATGCATGTTGGCTTTACTACGACGATGATAACAAAAAGGCTTACATATCATTTGGCTGAGCATAGTTCCATATCTCAGCATTTAAAGGAACAATGAGTGTTCCTTTAAATGCTGAGATATGGAACTATCGCACTCACAGATTAGACAGATATTAGTTGAACATATATTTATATTACATAAAAACAATAATAATCAAAAACTAAACATCCTTGAAGTTCCTTATATGTTTATATGAGAGAATTAAAACCCAAAATAAAATGTCAACTATGAGCGTAGCAACAAAGTCCTCAAATGCTTATAACACACACACACACACACACACACACACACATATATATATATATATATATATATATATATATATATATATATATATATGAACAAAAATAGAAAAGTTACTTCATTATACTGGGACACACCCACCAAAAAAAAAAAAAAACACGAGAAATTTGAACTTTTAAATCTAGAATGCTGCATAAGCAGTAAAAACGAACAATTGAAATGTTTTGAATTTACAGAAACATATACACATAGTCACACAACGTAACCTCTTGTAGATTGTCTCAGATGAGATTGAAAGTGCTTGGGAAAATAAAAACTATTTGAAAGAAAATTTTGGTATCCTTCTTAATTAATTTTCTAAAGCTACCAAGAAATTAATCCGTGAACTTGAAAGGTTCACAAGTAAAACTAATCCACATATGTCTAAATTATTTAACCAAACCTGTTTGAATATATATATATATAGAGAGAGAGAGAGAGAGAGATAATATTAGTGGTAAATATACACATACATATGCAAAATGTATAGATATATATACATAGGTGCATACACATACATGTATATTTTTTGAATAAAAAATTCTGAGAGGATAGAATCCAGGTAGAACTCAATGTCCAGGACAGAGTAAGGATATAATAAAAAGGCTTAAACACTAATATTCCATGGTCATAATTTATTCCATTGGAATCGTAAATACGATCCAATTCAGCAGACCTACAAATTCAAAAAGAAAACAGAAAAGAAGAACTCCGGAAATCAAAATAGAATTTGGAGAGAGTGTAAGTATGAGAGTGTGGGACGAATGTTAGTGTTAAAGAGAGGGGTAATAGACAGAGAAGGTGGGAGACTAAAACTTAACAGAGAGGGTTTTTTCTAACTAGAGGTGAGTAGAAGGGGAAATATGAATGTTGTCGGATGTCTAATACATTAAATATAATTTAATACATTATTTCGTGGTAACATACACACACCATAGACGATCTAATGTTAAGGTCAGAATAGGAGGGAGGGAGAGAAAAGGAAAGACGAGGTGGGGGAGAGAGATGGGGCGGGGAAACCAAAATTGAAGGACATTTACTCAAAGGGTCGCTGTGTAATTGAGAAAATTTGACAAAATTAATATCGACTACAGGTTACAAATCAAATATAAACATATAAAGAATAAATATAACGATTATCTAATCTAGCAAGGACCTATATTTTTATGTTCAAAAACACATGCGAATCCACACATGCACAATAACATATATTCGTATATATATATATATATATATATATATATTATTATTATTATTATATATATATATATATATATATATATATATATATATATATATATATATATATATATATATATATATATTATAACTCGTATTTGAAGTTGTTTATTTTAGGATACGGAACTGAGAATTTATATCTATTTTTTGAGCCTGTGAAAGATCAGTGTTTAATGGCACTTTGTTTGACCATTGAAACACTTCGTGGCTGAGAGGTTTAAAGTACGATCACGATCCCTAGGAGTTACGACAGCGAAATTAAATGTTGTTAAAAATACTGTTGCTAAAACATGGTGTCTCGGATTAATTATTAAAAAAGTTCCTGTCCCACCGGCATAAACTATTTATGTTTATAGTTTACATATTTTGTAAATCTTCCCTGGCAAATATTTTCATGAAAATAATTGTTCGGATGAACGCTTACGGTACTATTTAGCTTGACTTTGAAATGAAGCGTTTAATCGAATTTACTGTATTTTGAACTTCAACTTGATTGGCGGAAATACTACTTGAATCACACATCGCTGAAAGATGTGACAATTTTTTTTAAGACATTTTATGTTTATACATACTTTTTTATAGATACAAATATTTAAGTAAATTCTCTGCTAAACAACATTTACCGAGGACGAATTTTCTATGTCCTTCTCTTGTGTAGAATTCAGTTCTTCCCCGTCTTCATGCAAATATTTTCATGATAATTGTTCGGATGAACGCTTAGCTATAGACTTTGAAATGAATTTAATCGCAGTACTTTTCCACTTGAATTCAAAAATGTGACCTTCAAAAATTTACACGCAATATCAATCGTTATCTCCAGCCTTTCTTATTCATTACTATTCTATTATCATCGTTCCTCTTCTGCCCTCGTGGCTTTACTGCCTTGCATGGGTTGATATGATTAATACACACACACACACACACACACACACACACACACATATATATATATATATATATATATATATATATATATACGTTAAAAATCAGGAGGTTGAATCCACTATCTTGGTTTCAACCTTACGGTATCCACAGGCGCTTTTTTATCAAATGACGTCTTAACGCTTTATTTTAAAAAACGAAAATAATGAACGCTATATTATTATTTCCAAAAATAAATAAACAAACGAAGAAGAAGAAGAAGAAGAAGAAGAAGAAGAAGAATATATATATATATATATATATTGTTATTATTATCTAAAGATTATTTATATTTTATTATATATATATATATATATATATATATATATATATATATATATATATATATATATACCTCATCTTCCTCAATATTATGTATTGTAATAAAATAAATTTTAATACTCTCCTTCCTCTCTAATTTCGACGATGTCTCTCACACTATCTCTCACCACCCTCTATATCACCTTATTTTAAATACCTTTGAAGATCTAGAGAAAAATAAAATCTCTGGTGAAATAAATTATTACAATGGAACCTTAAAGCGGTCCGTTTTTTCTTTAAACTAAATAATATATATATATATATATATATATATATATATATATATATATATGGAGTGATAAAAGACCGAGAAAATTATCAACAGTATATATAAATGTTTTTAGTTTCCTGCTCGTTGCTCGCGTAATGAATTGTTTTTCACAATTCGCAAAGAAAAAAAGTGACCTATTAGTTGAATTTTTTTTCCACAGAGAAACAAGCTAAAAGTGAGCTCATAAGGATACTCGCGCTAGACTTCTTGCTGGCAAGACATTTCCTCTTCCTCCGGCAACCAGCTCCCAACACAAGTCTAAGCACGTTTTGATATATGTCCTCGTATTAATGGTGCGTTGAAAATACTACGATGTTGGTATTTGCTGAATAAGTTATGTAGCAGTAAGAAATCACCAAAAAAAAAAAAAATAACTATTTTGAAACACAACGCAGAATATTTGGCGTCCATATTATTAACAAAAAAAAAAAAAGAAACTTGAAAATGGCTAAATGGTATCTGCCTTGAACTGGCTGTATTAAGCGAGGCGGTTCAATGCCTTCGTAAATATATTCGAATTTTTGCTAATGTTCACCTAATACAGGTCCCAACAATCACTAGAAGTAGTGGGTTAATGTGCGGTGTTCCATTAGCGTAAGAAAGAGCAAGAAGGGATATTCTTCGTGCTATACAGGAAAGATAGTTGCTAACTCTAGAGTCCAATATTTAATTAGTGGATGAACATTTTAGAGTTCAGGTGGAAACGTTAGAAGTACAGGTGCGATGGGTAAATTGTCGCAACTTTATAATGTATCTCCGTTGCTTATTCATCGTTTAGCCGACTGCAGGATATAGTCGAGTCAGCTGGGCACCGGCTTTGAGAACAAGAGCACTATGGCGCAATTTACTCCGCCATAAATTTGGAAACGTCATGCTATACTGTTTGTACCGAAAGCTCCAATACGCACATTTCAGAGTGTTAGGGTGTCAATTTGAGGTCATTACAGAGGTTACGGAAAGAGTTAGATGATATATCCAGTCAACACGTGATTAAAACCAATGGCGATTTTATTAGATAAATTTATTAAATTTCTTAAATTATTTATTTATTAATGTATTTATAAATTTATTAATTAATTTCATTAATTAATTCATTTATCATTAATTTATTAATTTATATATATTTATTAATTATTTATTAAATTTATTTAAATTTATTGAATGATTTATTTATTAATTTAGTTATAAATTTATTAATTTATTTCATTAACTAATTTATTTATTATTAATTTATTTATTTATTAATTAATTTATTTATTTATTTATCATTTATTAAATTTATTTAAATTTATTAAATTTTATTAAATAAATTTATTAATTTTTTTATTAAATAAATTTCTAAATTTAAATTTTATTAAATAAATTTATTAGTATTTCAAGATATTTTTGTGTAATTTTGGTAAAATTATATCTGTTAAAATGAGATTTCAGTGTTATTTTCCCTTTTGCGTAATTTAGACGATAATTTATCTATCGCACTCTGTATAGTGTGGAAGTAGACATTAGAAGTTACAGGAAAGATTATCTTGAATGAGAAATAACGAATAACCTTCTCCTCCTGTTCAAAAGACAGAGGCGGAGTGTGTACCGGACGATAGGCTAACCTATCTACTGATATATGCGAATTTGTTATTTTTCAAATTCTGGAGTCATCTTTTCACTTTATGCTCGTAATTTTTCAAAAGAGAGTCTCTTTCTCCTGTTCTTTCTTCATTTACTCCGACTGATTTGAATTCCGTTTAGCCCAAACTCAAACACCAGATGTAAGAATACAGATACGCAATATTCTAAGAGAAGGCGCGTGGCATAGTGGTTTGAGACATGCCGACTTTCGAATCCCGGCCAAAATCCATCACGTTCATTTTTTTTTTTTTTTTTTTTTTTTCAGAAATATACTCGGGGAAAAAGGTATAGAGATTCTCTTTCTTCAGACTTGGCTGTTAGCCTTGCTTGGCAACCAGCCTGAGGGCGCGTCCGGCACAACCACTCCGTAAAGAGTGAGATGGTTATGATAACCACAGAAGCAACCCTAACGTGGGAAACCTCTAGCCTAATAATCAACACAATCTCCCTCGCTCTCTTTCTCTCTCACTCTCTCTATCTTCTTCTCTGTCACGCTCTCCCCCATCCCCCTCTCTCTGTCACTCTCTCTCCCCATCCCCCTCTCTCTCTATCCCCCCTCTCTCTCTCTTTATCTCTCTCTCTGTGAGCATTAGGAATCGATGTGATGAATCCTTTAATCGCTACCGTCCTATTAAACCTGTAATTAATATCGGTTTAATCTAAACATATAATTAATAGTGGAATTTTTTTTAAAAATAATAATTAACACCGGAAATTTTAGAAACCTATTTTAATATATATATATATTTTTTACACTTTCAGGACATATGGAAGGTAAAATGCGACAGAAGTTATCAGCTAATATAATGAGTTACTTAACAAAACTTGTGTCAATCGATGTTAGAACAGGGACGTAGCAAAGAGACAACTTATTAAAAGCTACATAAGGATAAGAAGCTGTGGAGTTGATAAAATAGATATGAACAGACTGAGATAGATAGATAGATAGATAGATAGATAGATAGATAGATAATGATGAAACAGATGAGATAGATAGATAGATAGATAGATAGATAGATAGATAGATAGATAGATAGATATGAACAGACTTAGATAGATAGATAGAACATAGATAGATAGAATAGATAGATAGATATGAACATAGATAGATAGATAGATAGATAGATAGATAGATATGAACAGACTTAGATAGATAGATAGATAGATAGATAGATAGATAGATATGAACAGACTGAGATATATATGAACATAGATAGATAGATAGATAGATAGATAGATAGATAGATAGATATGAACAGACTGAGATATATATGAACATAGATAGATAGATAGATAGATAGATAGATATGAACAGACAGAGATAGATAGAACGATAGATATGAACAGACTGATATGAACAGACAGAGATAGATAGATAGATAGATAGATAGATAGATATGAACAGACAGAGATAGATAGAACGATAGATATGAACAGACTGATATGAACAGACTGAGATAGATAGATAGATAGATAGATAGATAGATAGATAGATAGATAGATAGATATGAACAAACTGAGACAGATATGAACAGACTGAGATAGATAGATAGATAGATAGATAGATAGATAGATAGATAGATAGATAGATATGAACAGACAGAGATAGATAGAACGATAGATATGAACAGACTGGTATGAACAGACAGAGATAGATAGATAGATAGATAGATAGATAGATAGATAGATAGATAGATAGATAGATAGATAGATATGAACAAACTGAGACAGATATGAACAGACTGAGATAGATAGATAGATAGATAGATAGATAGATAGATAGATAGATAGATAGATAGATATGAACAGACTGAGATATATATGAACATAGATAGATAGATAGATAGATAGATGAACAGATGAGATATGAATGAACATAGATAGATAGAACATAGATAGATAGATAGATAGATAGATAGATATGAACAGACAGAGATAGATAGAACGATAGATATGAACAGACTGATATGAACAGACAGAGATAGAGATAGATAGATAGATAGATAGATAGATAGATAGATAGATAGATATGAACAGACAGAGATAGATAGAACGATAGATATGAACAGACTGATATGAACAGACAGAGATAGATAGATAGATAGATAGATAGATAGATAGATAGATAGATAGATAGATATGAACAAACTGAGACAGATATGAACAGACTGAGATAGATATGAAGATAGATAGATAGATAGATAGATAGATAGATAGATATGAACAGACTGAGATATATATGAACATAGATAGATAGATAGATAGATAGATAGATAGATAGATAGATAGATATGAACAGACAGAGATAGATAGAACGATAGATATGAACAGACTGATATGAACAGACAGAGATAGATAGATAGATAGATAGATAGATAGATATGAACAAACTGAGACAGATATGAACAGACTGAGATAGATAGATAGATAGATAGATAGATAGATAGATAGATATGAACAGACAGTATAAGATGAGATGAGATGATGAGGTTAATGAAAAGTGCTAGCAAATGCCAAAATTACAAGGGAAGACATAGGATAACTCTAAGAGAAGTAGAAATTTAAGGACCCAATAATGATATACATTTGAACAAATCTGAGTCTATAGGCAAACATTGTCCAGTTATTTGATTTGAGCCCCATAACAGCTCACATCCTGTTGGGACTCGGTACAAAGAAGAAGACGTCAGAATAAGAGGGAGGCTTACGAAAACATCACGTTGAGTCACCGGCTCCCGTACGATTGCCGAAGTTAAGCAATGTCGAAGCTGGTCAGTACCTTGATGGGTGACCTTTAGGGCATACCAGGTTCTGTAAGCTTGGGTGTGAGGTTCTCGTAATTGGTGATGGTTACTCGGTGAGCCAAGTTCCAATTTCAGTTGTGTTCGTTATATTCACATATTTGGGAAAGGTATAGATCCACCTCTTCTCCCCCAGCTATAGGTTAATTAGTAATATTAGAAGTATTATGTCTCTGACCAGAAACATTCTTAGAACCTTAAAATATTTCTAGCTTTAAATGACCTGCAAACGTTTGATAAACCGTAGAAATCGATACAATAAAAAAAATAGTTTTTCCAAATATTTTTCGGCGGAAAACCCAGAATGATAGTCTTTGCTTTCCTGTTGAGCTGGTGTCGTTCAAAATAAATATGATGACATTTTTATATCAATATTTAAATACATTGAGCTTACCTTTGTTTTGTTTTGTTTTTTATTTCATATATTTTTGGCTAAACGTAATTATATTCCGTATACACTAATATATTGTTTTCAAAATTGAAATGATTTTTCCTTAGCTGTCATGTTTAGAACAGTAAGAGATTATAATATAATTATTATAATCATTATTATCAATTATATCAATCAATTTTATATTATTAGATTATATTAATATATTATTTTATTATTACAATTATATTATTAATAACTAGCAATAGAGCCCGGCGTTGCCCGGGGATGTAACAGTAAGAGATAGATCAAGTATTGACCATCATAAAGACTGAAAAATAAAATTGAAAAAGATTATTGTTTAAGGTTGACCGACACGCATGTCTTAATTAGTTTTTTTTTTTTTACGAATTGGACAAACCCAAACTCAAACAAAAACTTTGTTTTCAGTCATTATGAGTCTACCGATTGAATAGAATTTTATTATAAACAATTGCCTTGTAAATGGAATTTTTAAAGCATTCTGAATGTAAAAATAAAGATAAAAGTGTGCAAGGCAATAAGAAACTCTACCTGCCAAAAAAAAAGTGAAGTTTTGTTGAAATCGATTGAAAAATGTAGGAAATCCGATCCCATATATAAACGAACACAGACGCACACACACACACGCACACACACACGCACACACAAACAACGTGGGTTTTATAATAAGTATAACTCGATATGAGTTGCCCCCCTTTCATTCCGCGAAAGCAATGCCTCTTAATCGTGTTTTCAAATTGATTTCGTGCAAAAACAATTGTGTTTTTCCCATTTTTGGCGCTGTCAGAACCACCGCAAGGTAATTTTACGCAATCCTGTGAAATCGGTTGAAAAATGTAGGAAATCCGATCCAATATATAAACGTAGACACACACACAACCTTGGTTTTATAATAAGTATGATATATTAATTATTATTATTATTATTATTATTATTATTATTATTATTAAATATAATATTATATTATAATAATTACTGAATAACCCTACATATAATATATTTCTTACATTTATTTTTAATATAACGAATGTTATGCTCACGATTTCCTTTAAAGTGAATTTTTCAGGCGCCTACGTCGCTACCGAATGTAGCCAGGTCAGTTTAAAGTCGTTTTAACAGCAATACCTTAGAAAAATTACTACAGCCTTCTTGGCATTTCGTCTTTAAGGGACACCTCACTTGCCTAGTAATAACCCCTAACCCCACCTCCCAAAGGAGAAGTACCGCCTGCGGTGACGACTTCTAGGAGTTGAGACTTTGATCACTAAAGCGTTATTATCTAAAAAGAGATATTCTTACCATCTAAAAATATTTTATGGCTTTAAATAACATGCAAAGGGTTGATAATCTTTATTAATTGATTTTTTAACGGAATATCGACACCTTATAGGCCATTTACTGCCGAAGTTTCTAGGGAAATTTGAAGTAAAACAAATATATGTTATTCTGCTTTCACAATTGAATACATGGTAAATGATACTCAGCTTTTGTGCATATATCCACTCAACGACGAAACTATTCGTACAGGCATCAATTTCGATTATTTTTATCCATTTCTCAGAATCTAATGCCCGTATGATGCCAGTTTTTTTATATGTTAATAAGCCTAAAAAAAATGAATATAAAACTCAATTTTCAGAACAATAAGTTAAATACAATAAATTTGACAGGCGAATTATGCAAAACAGGAAAAGACAAAATTATTCGTACAGTAGAAAATAACGTTTTAAATTGTTTGATTCGTGTAAGTATAAGTAATTTACATAATTATTTTATTGGTGAAGCCTTCAATAGAATATCTGTGATAATTCCAGCAAAGAACATCACGTGGTGCATAGAGTGTCATCATTGTTCTTACGTTAACAACAGGATGAGGAAGACAAAGAAGCTTAGCGTTGATTTGAGACAGAGAATTATCTTCGTCCACAAGTCGGGAAATATTTACAACACTATTTCAAATCGGCTGGCTGTAACCTAGATCTCCAGTACAGTCTGTTATAAAGACGTTTAAACAGTTAGGAATGACAGAAAATTTGCCTGGGCGTGGAAGAAAATCCAAATTATCAACGAGAACTACAGGAAAAATGTGTCGCGAGGTTAATATAAACCCGAAAATTGTTTTGAAAAAACATCGCCAAAAGTTTGGATACGATGGATATCAGCCGCACAATACAACGTTGTTTAAATAGAAATGGGTCGTATGGAAACCGACCAGGACGGACCCCTCTTCACAAACCATGTCACATTGTCGCTCAAAGAAAATTGCCTTTGGGAACAAGTACTATGGAGTGATGAAACAAAAATAGAGCTTCTTGGACATGATGTACAGAAAATTTAGCGCAAGACAGTTGAGGCTTTCCTCCCAAAGAACACATTGGCAACATTAAAACATGAAGGCGGCTTGATGATGTCTTGGGGTTGTTTTAGCTCAAGGGGGACTGGATAATTAATTGCAATAAGAGGAATAATGAAATCTGCAGACTATATTAAAATTCTGGATGAAAATCTACAACTATCAGCGCAAAATCTTCATCTAGGTCGGCGATTTAATTTCCAGCAAGAAAATGATCCCAAACATAGGTCTAAATCAGTGACTTGATGGTTCCAGAAAAAAAGATTACAGTTCTACGACGGTCTTCAATGAATCCTGACTTGAATCCTATCGAAAATCTATGGCAAGAATTTAAAGTTTGAATAAATCATAGGTCACCAGAAAACCTTCAGGAATTCCTACGTGTAACCACTGAAACGTAGAAGAAAAGCCGAAAGAATTGATCAAATCTAAACAAAAACCTTAGAAAACGATTGCAGCAAGTTATAAAGATGAGAGGCCATGCTATTGACTATTAATATCGTGAAAATTGTTCAATTCATTTTTCTATTTTTTATAATGTACGTTTTGCCTTTTCGTATTTTACATAATTCCCCCGTCAAATTTGTTGCATTTAACCCATTTTTTCTGAAAATTGAGTTTTATATTCCTTTTGTGTGCTTATTAGCATATAAAAAAAACCTGGCATCACACGGGCATTAGATTCTTAGTAATTAATAAAAATATCCAAAATTGATGGCTGTACGAATAATTTCGATGTTGACTGTATATGTTTGTGTGGACGTAATTACTGGGAACGATGATGCGTTTTTTTTTATGTTATAGCTTTATTGAAGTTTTTTTTTTTTTAAATACAGCTCGATTTCTTTAAGAAATTGATAGATATTATCTGGATTAATATCATGAAAAAGTTATTTCATGTTAGTTGTTAGCAGCATATCATTATCTATGAGTTATTTAATGCCGAAATCTAATTATTTTGAAAGCAATTGCATGATTTCAACCACTGAAAATTTATTGTTGGTCATTTTGCTATAAACTTTACTGTTGGTATTTCTACTATAAATAGGTATTGTTGGTAATTTTACTATAAATATGTGTTGTTGTTTATTTTCTTATATATAAAAATATAGTTCTAGTATTTTTACTATGAAAATGTATTTTTATACTTTTATAATGTTTTGTTTTTTGTTTGCCCATAGCTGAGACCCCTAATAGGTGCTACCACCTCAGATCAGGGTAGACCTAGGTGCAACAGCTGGTAGTATGTGGTTCCACGCTCCTCAAAACTTCCAATCTCTCGATCAGATACCTTGCTGCCGATAGTTTATCGTCATAACGAGGACTCTGTAAAATGAAAATTAAGACGTTCCAGCCTAGATATGGTGTCAATAATTGATTTTTGGCTTAATCTGCTTCTTGTAAAGATATCTAAGAGAATTGTTTGCACTTTAGTCTGTGTACGATCGTTGGAGGGTTATGGTGAGCCGGACATTATTCCATCTTCTTTAGCAAAGGAGTGTATATCTCCCGATAAGAAGCACTGCTCCCGGATCTACGTTATCGTCATATCCAGGACTGTGTTGATAAGCCGTAGAAAACGAATCAATTAATTAAAGGTGAGCGTAGTACGGAGATGCAAATAGAAGTTTTCGTGATTATCAAATGCAAACCTCTTTTGTGCTACCTATAGAATCGGGTGGCAACAGAGGAAAAATATAATCATCTTGTCACACTGATAAAACTATTGGATCATTTAAATGCCATCCTATTTGAAACTAGGGATATGTACAAAATGATCAGCTAATGAAAAGAAAGCGGTTTCATAAAAGGAAGATATTTTGAAGGAAAGTATAAGATTTACTGAAACACGGTGAAAATATATTGGGCGTTTTAATGCGTCAGGCCTTTATTTTAATGGAGTTCACCCCACACAAGGCGGTAAAGCCACTTAGACA